ATATATAACACTTCTCTTAAGACAGACTGAAACTAAATCATTTCACAAAACAGTGATGTGAATCTGCTATATTTTAAGTTGACCTTTTCTAATAGCATTTTGTGGCGATGTGACTCCACTTCCCTGACTTTCACAGTACTTAGAGCTATTTAAATTCTCCTTCTGCTGCATGTGCCTGAAATTACACCGAGCCATGTTACTTCCAACTTTGTAAATAAGCAGCCCGCAGCATGGCTCGGTTGTGTCAGTGGCCTTGGTTGTCATGGAGGCTAACAACTCTCATTATGATCAAAAGCAAAAAAGATGACACTACTCTCTAAGCGAAACGGTGCCAAAAGCAGACAGATCAATTAGGGTCAGGCTTTGCAAACCAATGGTCCAGGGATTTGCTGAATTAAAGAAAAAAAACTGGGGCAGTAATTTGAAATAGCAGCTAATTGAGTGAGATTCAAAATGTGTCCGTAAACAAGGCATGCAAGTTGCATACGAAGAAGATAGAGGAGGAAGGACAATGAATGCAATAACAAGAATAATAAACAACTCATATTCCCCTTACAGACTCGCACAGAGGACAACAACTGGACGTGTCAGTGTCTTGTCTGAATGAGCACCTTTGTGCTTTCTCCAAACATTGTGTGATGCTAATGCAAATTAGCTGACCCTGGCAACTTACATTCTCCTTCAACAGACAAAAATCTAAAGTCGTGCTTTACTATTTTTACAGGCATGCACAGCAGCAGTGAAAATAATTTGCAAATTTAATTACATTTTAAAGAAAGAAGTGAAAACAATGACAACAATGTGCCCAAAAATCTTTTAATACTGATGCCTTTGCTGAAAAAAATATGCTTGAAAAAAAAAAAAACATACCAATTTAGGAGAATCATCATTGATATGTTGATTTTAGTGGGTGTAGTTGAAATGTTTTTCACTAAAGCAACTGAACAGTTTGGGCCATCTCAAGTGTGTTTGGTGCAACATATCAACATTTGCTTTGATTGAAAGATTTGTTCTGATGCCCTGGATGGATGTCCAGTAACCCAGACAACAATCACTCAGACCTCCATCACCTCCCAAACACTTGTCACCACATGAAGACATCTGAGTGACATGTGGACAAATACTCATTACAAGTTTGTGTCCTTTTATTTACTTGCTTATATTGAAAGACTCCACTGATGCTCAGAAAAGTGGTTCGTGTCTGTACAACAAAAACTTATTGGGTTTTTTTACAGGAGAGGGCTCGACTGTCGTGTAGACTGAGTTACTATTTTTTTATTCTAATTTCCTGTCTTTTTTTGTTTTGTTTTTTATTGTTATAGCTTACATCTCAGTGTTTTAGTTAAGACATGTGCATTCGAGCCAATCTGAAAAATATACCATAAATGCTTCTAATTTTGGCCTTTTTTAAAATAATTTCTTGCCTTTATTTTGTTGTATTGAAGTCCACAGACAGACTAAATCTCTCACACCAACCTGTCTTTCCAGTGTTTTTCATGGTAGTCTGATTGGAGGACTCCATGTTGAACTTATCAAGCACCAGCTCCTGGTACTCCTCTGAAACCAAAGCTTGTTCATCTACAATATCCACAGGTGACTGGTTTGTTGCAGCACACTCTGGATATAAGGCTGCCCAGCCTCGAGGTCCATGGCTCCCTGCAGGAAAACAAACAAATAAAACAAACACATGAGATTATTAAATCTATCACGCTAAAATTTAGCAATACTGGCAATAATGTCACCGCAACAGCAGCCCACAGGGTAACAGAAGCAACAGGAATGATAATAAAAAGGACAAAATATAGTTTTACATTCATTCAGCCGTTGTTCCTTTTTACTTTCCCATCTGAGAATACACAAGAACACAATACAATTTTGTTATCTGTGTTTAGACCAGGGGTGCCCAAACTTTCCCCTAGAGGACCAAAATAAAAAATCTATCTGAGGGCTGCGAGTCAAATGCAATAATATAATACATGAAATGCAAATACTTTTATTTCTTTATGATTAAGCAAACAGTGTGGAGGCCCATGTTTCTTTTTTAGACCGTGTCCATGGAGAAAGTCTGACATATGCTCGGACACCAAGGGCTCACGTGGGACCTTTCATTAATTGATAAAATTTGAATAGTTGTGGTCTTAGAAAGTGTGAATCTAATCAAAATGTCTCTTTTAGTGACTTGCTTTTTCAGGTTTAATCTGAATATAATTCAAAGATAAAGTAAGCACTGTGACTAAAGATTGTCTGCACTACAGCCCCTTATATAGTCATCGGGCCAATGTATGTATTGACTAAGTTGGAAATACACTGTTTCTACATAGGATGRCAGGAGAGWACAACCTAGTGACCAGGGCAACTGCTGCTGGGCCGGCCAATTTTGACCTGTGGGTCCCACTTTGGGCACCTCGGGTTTAGACAATGTCATTGCTAATTGTTTATATATTTAAATTAAATATCCAAGTAAATCATTTTCCTACCAAGCCAGACCACCTGAAACAGGAAAGAGAACCTTGTTAAAGTGCATATGCACTTTTATTTTTAAACATATTTAAATTAGGGAGGCAAACAATTAATTGACTTATGATTAATTGTCAAATAATGGTTTATTAGATTGAAATTTCTTCCATTTTAGGGCTGAAACAATTCCTCAAATAACTGAGTAATTCAATTACAAAAAATCCTCGAGGCAAATTTATCTGCCTCGAAGCTTCATAAAAAATGCATACTGTTATAATCTGYGCACTTTTGTCTGCCCGGAATTTTATTTGTGTTACACATAATGCTATGATGTTAGCGCTTCCGCTAACAGCCCCCACATACTCRGGCGTACTTTGGTCCGCAGTGGTCCGTGCAGACTCGAAGCGGACGTCCGCTGGACTGGACCGCGCAGAGATCACTTTTATATTGTCCGCGTATGCATGCTCGGTGTCACACAATAAACAGCCCAGCGAGAAACAGGAACTCGGACAGTCGACGTGTCATGCATGTATGCTTGCTGAGCGCTACATTTAGCTTCAGAAGAAGAAGAGTGCCGAAACAAAGCGCCCAAAAAACAATAAATTATAAAAAGCATGGGAACATTTAAAACTAAACAGAAAAGACAACAAAAAGCAATGCTTTGCACATCCTCGATGTTTCTGCAGTGGAACAAAAACAGCTGCTGCATGTACAGTACCAAATGCGTCCGGAGTTAACCACAGGTATTTGTTTACGTTCCCTTTGCAAAATACAGTTACCTAAGTCTGTAATAATCTATCAGATTACACATGTACAAGGAGGAGGTATATTTAAGCTAATGTTATTTGTGCTGACTAATCATGGTGACCTGGCAGGGTTTTATTAAACAGTGTGTAAATTGTGTGATTAAAAACAAGACTTACTGAAAGTTTGTCAGATAAAAATAAAAACACAGCAACAGATTGACAG